GAATCACCACTACCATTCTCTGCTGCCAGTTACCTTCTTCCACCAGACCTGATTATATCACCCCTTTGCTTAAGATCTGTGGGACTCTCACTCATATCCCACTCACCAACCATTGCCTAGCATATCATTTCCGAGTGCAGTTTTCAATTCACCCAGGACTCATCGTAAACCAACAAATAATAGCAAGGCCTAACTTTCTTTTCAAAGCAATTTTCCATACAATTTCCCAAGTCCCTGTGACAAGGGCAAATGAGCAAGCAGTTCTAGGCAGCTTCAATGGCTTGTCAAGCGGCAAGACAATATGCCTTGATGTTCCTTCCTTGTTCACCCAGTGCTCAGAGCTCTGATGATCTGTTTCTGTTTCTGTTATCTCATCTCTCTCTGATTGACAGTGCTGTTTCTTCTTCCAGGTATGTCCTTTACCCCATCCAGTGAATGCACACAAATCCTTTATGATTTCTAGTGTTCAAATGACTGGTCTTTCTTTGGGCTCCCTTACCAATCTGTCAACACCCTCCCCACATTATAGCACAAACTACATTAGATTAGATGCACCTGCTTGCCTGATTCTTTTTCCTAGTAGACTGTGACCTTCTCTAGAACATGGGTTGTAAGCATGGCCTTAGTCAGGAAGCGGAAATTGATGGAGGAGAGAATGAATGAAGAAAAACATGATTAATGACAAATCTGTGTTTCCACTGCTTCCAGTATTCATGCAACACTGAACCAATATTTATCAAGAATGAGACTAGTACTAGGGGCACAGATAACTGATAAACAGGACAGAAATGATAGCATGTGTGTGTATTTAGAGAAGGAGTGTATATATATATATATATATATATGTGTGTGTGTATATATATATATGTATATACACACATACATATACCTGGAGTATATATAATATACACACATATACATGTGTGTATATATATATATATATATGGTGGATGTACATATATAGTGTGTGTGTGTGTGTGTGTGTGTATATATATACATACACATATATATGTCACATTTGTACATATATAAGTATATATATACATATTCATATTGTGAGTACATATATATATGTATGGGCTTCCCTTGTGGCTCAGTGGTAGAATCCACCTGCTAATGCAGGAGATACAAGTTCAATCCCTGGGTCAGGAATATCTCCTAGAGAAGGAAATGGCAACCCATTCCAGTATTCTTGCCTGGAGACTCCCACAGACAGAGGAGCCTGGTGGGTTACAGTCCATGGGGGTTGCAAAAGAGTTGGAAATGACTTAGTGACGAAACAACAACAATATATACATGAATAGGGTTATAAAGTATGTTTGTACTTATATAGTGTTCATACATATATCGTGTATGTTCATGCACACATCTTTAGTGGGCAAATGCATGTCTGTGTCTGTATAACAGTAGGTGGACATATAGTCTGTGTGTGGTAGGTACATGTATAGTGTGTACACATATGATGTGCATATATGCACACGCAGATGGCCTATGCACGTTTAGGTGCCTGTGTGTTCACTAGAATGCAATGTGAGTGGAGATTTAGAGGGTACAGCAGAAGACGGTAGGAAGGATAGCCAGTACACACAACATGGATGTTTTTTAATAAAATGAGGAGAAGCTTGAGGCTGCCTCTCTACAAAGGAGAGTGAGGAGAGAGGAGGAAGAAGAAAGAGCTGGAGAATTAAGAAGGAAAACAGCTTAGAGAAAGTTCACTAAAACCAAGCAAGCACCATATTCTAAAGGTTGGTGAGCAGACATAAACACCTTTAAAACAAAGCTGGGGAGGTGGAAAATCAAGGGGTGGGAAACCACTGGATTTTATCAATAGGAAGGTAGCAGTGAATAGGGAGTGAAAGCTTCAGGAAGAGGTGGGGGGATGACTCAGTGATGAGGAAACAGAATCAGACAAACACAGACTTCTGTCTCTTTTCAACACTTTGGCTTTGAAAGGATGATAAGAGAAGCAGCTTTGATAAAAGCAGGATCAAAAACTTGGCTTTTTTTTTTTTTTGGTTCTGTGTAGATGGGAAAGGTCAAACGTGTGTGGACAGAAGGTTATGATTCTGGTGCTATCCCAGGGCTCACATTGTGAAGCATCATTTGCAGCAAACACAAATACACTCAAGACCTCTAACCCTTATAGCACTCACATATAGAAGCCCAAAATCTCTCACAACAGGTCTGGGAGGTAGGTTCTATAATTATCTACATTTTACAGATGAATAAGCCAAGCACAGACAGGTTAAGTAACTTGTCCAGAGTTGCTCAGCTAGTTAAGTCCCAAGTCAAGTCCCCTTGCCTCTTCCAGGCAATCTGATGTGCAATGAGAGATGCAGAAAATAAAGCCTTTGACATGCTTCATGCTTTCCCAAGTCCTGCTAAGACTGACCTGGCTTTCTCCCCTGCCAAGCAGAGGCTTTGAATTTGGGGTGGAAGCTGTGTTTGATGGGGGAGGAATACCAGAAGGAGCCCATTTATTGGTATTGCAGAGTTTGCAGCTCAATTGCCAGTTGTGAATATTATCGTAAGCATCATTCAAAGACAGTTACAGTACACACTATGAGACCTAAGTTCAAGAACTGCCTCCAACTCCAAGTATTTTATAATCTGGAGCAAGTCACTTAACTGGTGCAGGTACAAATTTTCCATTCATAACATGGAAAAATAATAATAAATTATTCTACATCCCTTAGAGTGCAGTTGTGAGGAGCAAGTGAAAAGATGTGAGAAATTTCAAGCAAATGTACACTATTTCATTATTATTATTATTCTCTCAAAACTGAGAAATTGCTCATTTTCTCCACTTCCCCATTCCACTTCCAGAGGTATTAAAAGCTGGTAAGACATCCAACTCTGGGAAAGTGTTCTAAACCCAAGTAACTTCCATGTATACAATTTGCCCTAAGTGGGAAATTCCCTTACACAGTGAGACAGGATGACCCATTTCAAAATTTCTCTGGAAGCGAGCTTTAATTAACTGTCTTTATCTAAGATTTGCAGGCTGTTTTTGGATGCCTAAAGCTGCTCAAAACAACTAATACTATACATTCTACACCAGTCTGTTCATCCTCCTTTTCTTTCTCCATTCACCATGTGGATCATGATATTAATACACTAACTGCAGTGCAGCCTTATTCCCTCACTACCTGCTTCTGTGAATTTCACTTCTATTCATCGACATAGTCTTTAAGTCCCAGCATGATCCTGCTGCAGATGATCAAGGAGGTGACTACTGCCAGAAGCCAGTAAGGCATAGCCATTGGAAGGGAATGTGAGAAAATCAGCGCCAGGCAACCAGGCAATCTGATTGTATTTTGCCAAATGCTTGGAGCACTGGTACAGAGTGTGGCTATCAAATCTTCAGATGGATTTTTTTCATCTTTAAACAAGACAGTTTGGTGCATATATAATGAGCCTAGAGTTCCATGCAAAGCAGTTGTCCTTCAGATTTTTTAATTGTCTTGATTTTTTTTTAAACTTTACCCTTTCTATCTAAACTATGTTCCAAAGATAAAGTTAAAACAATTAGGCAGCAGTAGAATGGGGTATATGATGGGTGATTGGTGTGTGGTCAGTTGTAGGCACATTTACTGTAATCTATGAAAACATCTGGGCCACAATCAATCTCCTTTGCAGGTGAGAAGCTAGGGATCCAGGGCCAAATTTCACTTTTTCTCTTTTTGAGAAAGGAGCATGCAGTTTGCATGCATGGCTTCATAAAGAAAAGTGAACATACAAAAATTTCAAATTGCAGAGACAACCTGTATGATAGTCATTTGTATTAGATAGCTTTATGAAAGGTTGTTGGGGTGGGGGGTGCTCATTCATATAATCCCTTCCCTATCTGCATGCAAGCTCAGTTGTGTCTGACTCTTTGTGATCCCATGGACTGCAGCCCACCAGTCTCCTCTGTCCATGAAATTTTCCAGGCAAGAATACTGGAGTGGCTTCCCATTTCCTACTTGAGGCAATCTTCCTCACCCAGGGATAGAACCTTCAAGTCCTGCCTTGGCAAGAGGACTTCTTTTACCACTGCGCCACATGGAGCCCCTTTAAAGCAGACACTTAACAGTTTTGCAAAGCAAAGGACTTCACTAATTCTATTCATCCCCCAAGACAGCCCTTCTCCCCGCAAAATGAAACTTTTAAAATTTACTCTCTGTAAAATTTTATAGAGTAAGTCTCATTAGTTCCCTGTTAGGCAGAAATCAGCTGAAACACACCCAGAACAATGGTGTTTTCCCCTCTGAGAAATCTCTAGACCAAGACCAACACACAGACCCCTTCTTCTACTGCCTCTTTCCTTCAGACATCACCACCGGACTCCTCTCTTTCCACAGCTGGTCTGATGCAGACTCATGAGCTTCTACCATCCCACTTCCCTCTTCCATTGCAGTTCCTATCAGCCAAACTACTAGTGAAAATGACAGAAGCCAGTACTTGTTGAGTTTAGGTGCTTTACTCCTTTTCAAGCACAAATAACATTTATTTTAACATAAATATACAAGTCTACAAAAATATTTTTTAAAAGTACAATAATCTGAGTCACTGGCCAGCAGGACCATGCTTCATTTTCATAGTTAGAGATCAGATGCTCCGTAAAAATATATTCTTTTAGCTTAGTTCTAGGACACCTTCAAACATAGTAAAATTCCTTGTTCTACAAACAAATCGTTTTAGAGATTATTTACATATGCCAGTGATTTTGGATCTTTTATACCCAGAAATCAAGGGTACTGAAGTGAGTTAGAATTCCACATCAAGAATACAACTGCTGATATACAAACATTACAATAAATTACTGTATTAGATTTTGAAAAATACATCAGATTTTCTCTGTAAGTTTCTAGCAGATAATAAGTTACCCACCGGAAAAAGAAACAACAAAACAAAACCCTCAAGTCCACCTCAAGTGTGTCTGTCCTGATTCAAGTGTGAGATGCCCCAGGTCTGAGCTGCACCCACCACGCACTCTGCCGGGAGGGGTATGGTGCACATTACTTGGCGTGAGCAGACCTCAGAGTTCCCAGTATTTTGTCCCAGTGTGTGAAGTAAGGTGCGAAGTTGCAGTTAAACTGGGAGTGATGCAGGTCGTGGTTCCTCACGCCCCCAAACCACCCGAAAGGTACCAGTCTGTGCGTGGACCAGGGGAAGTCGTAGCCGGAGTGGTCCTCCACCGACAGCCAGATGTTGACCACGTGGAAGGTCAGGGTGGTGAGAGGATGGCACCGCAGCAGCAAGACGTTCACCATGTCAAAGACACCCAAGGAAAAGAGCTCCCCGACGCTCATGTACTGCGTGGCCAGCGCGAACGGGGACGAATTCTGATGGTGCATCTTGTGGAAGGTCCGGTACAGCCAGGGCACCTTGTGATGCAGCAGATGCCACACGAAGAACTCGGTGTCGAAGAGCAGCAGGCAGAGCACCACGTGGCTCGCCAGCTGAGACAGTTCGGGGGCTTCGACGGGCAGGAGGGCCGGGCTCACAGCCCAGTGCAGCAGCGTCATGGGGAACACGAACACCACGTGCTGGAAGAGCGTCTGCCCGAGGCAGGGCAGCAGCTGCCGCGCCGACGGCGAGAAGTCCGGGTGGATCTTGTAGCGCCGCAGCGCGGGCACCCAGGGGCACAGCACGTCCAGCACCACGAAGGGCAGGCAGAAGCCCACGTAGGTGGTGATGGAGAAGAAGACAGGAAAGAAGGGCGACTGCATGAGAGCCTCCCAGGTCCTCAGGCGGTCCCAGAGGGGCTGCAGGAGCAGCTGGCCAGAGCTGCAGACGACGTGGAGCTCGGAGCGGTTGTGGCTGTTCATGATGAGGCTGTGGCGAGCAGCGCTGCTGCTCGGATCCTAAGGCTTTTCTTGGGGCTTTCGACCCGCCCCCCCGTGATGTCAGCCGCCGTTTGTCCTCCCTTTCCTGTCTTCGCGGAGCTTGCAAAAATAAATAATCCAACAGAATTGCTCTTAGTTGCTATAAATACTCAAGTACAGCTGCGTTCAATGGCATTCAGATATGCAATTACGCAATGGCCCGTAGTAATTACTAAGCCTACAGGATTACGTTCTGATGTTTTAAGGGACGTACAACTTATACACGATACAATGCACAGAGCTTCAGTGCAGAGTTTCTACGAGTTTTGACAACTCAGTTTATGGATTATCAGCATCCCCAGACAAGAGAGATTATTTCCATCATCACCAAAAACAATCCCTTTTCATTCAAGATAGAATTACTTGTGTTTTTTAATAATACATTATTGTGTCTGAGTGTTTTAATAAAGACACAAATGTGACTATTAAAAAAAAACTCTAAAAAGCGACATACCTTTCCTATTTCGAGTCTTTTCTTTCTGCTGGCGCGCTCTATTGATCTAACTAGCAGCAATCCGCAAACTAACCTTTCTTAGACAGAACCGCGCGGGTCTCTGACCGCGAGCGGTGGCGATCTGCGCAGGAAATCAGCCGGGATGGGTAGCAGGTTGGGAACCTCCTCCAGTTCCCATATCTTTCCCCGGCCGGCTGGGGGAAAGCTACAGACCCTACTGCACGCAGACTCCCTCGGAGGAGCCCCCCAAACGCGGCCAGAGGGTCGTCCCTTCGCGGTGCGTCCAAGTCGCCCAAAGCAGCGACGGGAACAGGGGGGTACTGCGGCGAGAGAGGGGACAGCGACTTTTATCTTTCGCGTTACCGAAAAAAAAAAAAAAAAGTCAAGGGCTGGAGTTAACATCCAGAGCCTGCCCATCCAAATCTGGCTAAAAGCCGCTGCATCTCATTAGGGAGGAAAGCAGTGCAATCAGTAAACCACCCACTTGGAGGGAAAAAGGGGATATTTTTGCGTTCCCTGAAGCCTACGGGGAGGCTGTTGATTGAACAGATGATGTCGCGCCCTCCTAGCCCTTCCCTCTGCTGGCTCCGCGACGCCAACTTGCCCCACGTCCTTGACGCCGCCATCCCCCAAACCATCCCCGGTGCTGTGAGCCCAACGGCGAGGCCACCCCCACCGCTGCGTTTCTCCGCCATCAGCTGTGGTCAACTGGCCAGGATTGAGCCTGAGAAAGTCGGCGTTAGGAGAGCTCAGATGGGTCGTGGCTGGGCCGGGAGCGGGGGTGGAGTGTGTGTGACCCTGCGACTTACAAGAAAAGCAACCTCCGCGGTTGACCCCGGGGCCTGACGAAAGAGACATCTAGAGGGTAGAAGTTTGGGATGGAAACAGAAGCCAAGGGTCACTCCTAATCCTAGCTTTGCCCATTCTTGTGTCTATGACGTTGGGACCAGCGCCTCACTCCAGGAAGTTCTGCTTTATCTTAACCCCGCTTTCCAAAGGGAAGTAACAATCATACCCATCTCATGAGGCTACTGCAAGCATTAAATGAGAAAATAGTAATAATAATATTGTTAAAGTTACTGTGTAATGTCTGCTAGACATTGAATGAGAAAATAGTAATACTGTTGTTAAAGTTACCGTGTACTGTATGCTAGACCTTAGCTAAATGTTTTACTTGAAGTGATTAAATGCAGTCCTTGGAAGAGCTGGGTTTGCCAGCTGCCAAGATTATTTTTGCCATAATCTTAACAGAAGGGAAAATATAGTGCCTGGAGCCCAGTTACAGAATGAAACATCTATTATTTTAAATGCATACTCCACATTTTACCTAAGGAGTAACTGAGGAAGCTTGCAATTAAAATCAGAGTCATAGGATTAATCTCAAAAATATACAAGCAACTCCTCCAGCTCAACTCCAGAAAAATAAATGACCCAATCAAAAAATGGGCCAAAGAACTGAACAGACATTTCTCCAAGGAAGACATACAGATGGCTAACAAACACATGAAAAGATGCTCAACATCGCTCATTATCAGAGAAATGCAAATCAAAACCACAATGAGGTACCATTACACACCAGTCAGGATGGCTGCTATCCAAAAGTCTACAAGCAATAAATGCTGGAGAGGGTGTGGAGAAAAGGGAACCCTCTTACACTGTTGGTGGGAATGCAAATTAGTACAGCCACTATGGAAAACAGTGTGGAGATTTCTTAAAAAGCTGGAAATAGAACTGCCATATGACCCAGCAATCCCACTTCTGGGCATACACACCGAGGAAACCAGATCTGAAAGAGACACGTGTACCCCAATGTTCATCGCAGCACTGTTTATAATAGCCAGGACATGGAAGCAACCTAGATGCCCATCAGCAGACGAATGGATGAGGAAGCTGTGGTACATATACACTATGGAATATTACTCAGCCATTAAAAAGAATTCATTTGAATCAGTTCTAATGAGATGGATGAAACTGGAGCCCATTATACAGAGCGAAGTAAGCCAGAAAGATAAAGACCATTACAGTATACTAACACATATATATGGAATTTAGAAAGATGGTAACGATAACCCTATGTGCAAAACAGAAAAAGAGACTCCTATGTATAGAACAGACTTGTGGACTCTGGGAGAAGGCGAGGGTGGGATGTTTCAAGAGAACAGCATTGAAACACGTATATTATCTAGGGCGAAACAGTTCACCAGCCCAGGTTGGGTGCATGAGACAAGTGCTCAGGCCTGGTGCACTGGGAAGACCCAGAGGGATTGGGTGGAGAGGGAGGTGGGAGGGGGGACCGGGATGGGGAATACATGTAAAAAAAAAAAAAAAAAGATACACTATGGTTGTGATAAAAAAAAAATAATAATAAGTAAATAAATAAAAAATAAAAAAAATTTTTATTTAAAAAAAAATAAATAAATAAAAAATAAATCATTTTATGATAAAGGTAATTTCCCTGTCAGGAAATCTGCTTGACTTCATAGATGAAATGGTGCTGAATAAACTGATTGAACATTTATGGAAAAAAATAAAATAAAATAAAAATAAAAATAAAATCAGAGTCATATAACAAGAAATAAAAGATATAACACCATATGATATACTACAAGGAAATAATAAGTACAACAAAAATACATACCAATATATGGACCTGAAATGAATGATATATAATAGTTCAATTCATAATATATAATAACATATCAATATGTAAGTCTCAGACTTACAAATGAATTCTGCTCAGAAGCAAAATATCACTCACATTTGCCATCTACAAAAATTAAGTCAACCTTCAACTTTCAGTTCAGCATATGCTGTTCTTTTCTTGTGGTTTCAGCCTTTTGCTGGAATGCTTTGGGTTCTCTCACAGATTTTTTTTTAAGTGGGTGGCTTAATTTGGACTTCACTAGATTGCTCTCAGGACTGCCTCCTTTGAGCCCCCAGCCTCAACCAAGCCGTCCTTTTCCTTACTTGGTTCTTCTGTCCCTCTCTCCCTAAACCTGTTAGAATATGCTCTGTAAAACGCTGAACAGCAAGACCTGGAAACCACAGCCTCAGTCTGCTTGGCCCAGGCTCTCCCCTCTAACTTGCAGCACTTTGAAGAATAGCTACCCGCTTCTCTGCCTTTCCAGCCCACCAAGCTGCCCAAGTCCTCCTATATACAAATGCAGTTGTCTCAGGGAAAGCGGTCAGTTAAATTCTCATCAGTTGCCCACTCCGTCATGAAGAATGCTGAAAAGGTAGGCACAACATTTTGACTAGTATCACTCAATTGACTCAAATATAATTGAGCCCTATTTACTCTTAAGTAGTGCCATTTCCTAAACGGGCATGTACCTTTCCTAAATGTGTACCTTTAAACACTTCTAATTTACACAAAATGTATTTAATTACTTGCTAGATGAATAGGTCTTTTGGGGGCACAGAGTCCATCTCCTAGGATTTTTTTCCCGCGATGTCAAGCATTATACCTTGCACATAATAAGGTTCAAAAATATTTGTGGGCTCAATGCTCATTTTAGGATATATCGACTTTAAATTAAGTGTTAAAAAAGCATCATTTTTTCTGGGGCACCAGTTGATGTCATTTAGGTCTACTTACTTACTGGGATGGTTTTTCCATAGAAAGAGATATTTCCTGATTTCTGATGGTATTAAGATTTTGGCCACATTATTTCTTCTGCTTCTCTAGTTTTGATTTCCTGTGTATTTTTATCTTGGCGTGGTCTTTCTGACAGAATTGGACGATAGGAATTCTTTCTTCCCTAGCTATCCTAGAGATCAAATCACTTTGCTGAGAATACACCCACTAGGTGTGTACATATTGAACACAATCTCAAAGCTGTTTGGTACCAACTCACCACAAGACTGTAAAGCACCATCTCCCAGAAAATATAGAACATGTAATTGGAAAAACCGTTTACCAATGACACAATTTCTTTTTACCAGTGACCTTTATGTTTTTTTTCTCTCCAAAATTAGGTAAGACTGTCTTGGCAACTATGTAACTGAAATGACTACTCTTAGATATCAGAGATGAGACATGTTGTAACATCTTACAGCTGTAATCCATAAAATTTATAGAAGGTGAAGATAAAGATCAAAATCTAACCCCTCATTGTAAAAATGAAGACTCAGTCTCAGAAATGTCAAGACTAGCTAGGGTTCAATAGAAGGTCACAGCTAAACTGAGAGCAGAACCCTGTCAGTGTGGATTTCAAGATTGACACCTCTACAGGAGGAGTTTAGTTTTGGAATGGGACATCAAAGATGCATTTATAGGGCAGTTTACAAAAGACTCCGAAAACCAAACAGTTTAACTACCAGCACCCAAACAGTAGGGGATGCTGATGATGGATGGGGGCGGGGTTCGGGGGGCAGGGCAGTGTTAACTCCCCTAAAAGATTCCTTGATGCCCTATTTGACATAGATGCTAATGCATATTTAGTTTTAAACACTTTATATTTCAATGCATCTGTGTCATGTGTAAATGAGTGCTTCTATTGAGATTATTGGAACTCTTATCGACCTGTTTGAAATATAAAGGCATACAAAACCATCTCTTTAAGAGGCATACCATTGCCTATAAAGCAGAGAAAATGCTCCCCTCACCTATCAAACGGGTTGTTGTAAAGATCAAAGCCCTATGTGAAGGCTTCAAAACCCAGGAAGGCACAGGGTAAAAATACAAGGTATTTGTTTTAATACTATTAAAACAAGTTGACAGAGAAAGACTTTTACTTGCTTAGTTTGAAACAGACCTTGAAACTTGCATAGTACAATAAATAGTCAATAAATACTCTTGAATGAATCACTAACAAACTTCTTAAAAATCAGTATTATTATAACCTGATGTCTTTCAGGAGTCACATTTTGAAAATCTCTCCAAATATTAAAAAAAAAATGAGTTACAATTATAGGGTAATTTAAATGTTTAACATTTAACAAGTTAACACCTTTCATACCCACAAACACAAAATAATCATTGCTTGAAGATAATACCAACAGCTTATTAAGTGTAAAGCCTCCATTAGAACCTTCCGTGCTTCTTCCCTCCTGTCTGAGTCTCTGACCACTCTTAACTATTTGTCAAGTTTTTATTTTCATGTCCCATTTGGGACACAGTTATTCTTTGAGAAAAATTTTCATATGTTATGCTTTAGGCAAGAATTAGTTGTAATCTTGGACAGAAATGACCACAAACATGGTTGGTCGTTAATAACCAGTCCTCAAAATAACAACTGGCTCCTAAATCCACAAAGTTCTCTGCCCAGTCCAGAAAAAGTGAGGAAGCAAAGGCAAGAGTGCCCCCTTATGGCGAATGAACAAAAAAAAAATACTTCATTTTCAATTGTGACTTCATGCACAGGCACATGGGCTTTGCCCAAGCACACACAAGATCTTGGAGTTCCAAGCTGACAGAATATTAACTAGTCTTTTCCTTGCCCTAGAGGTTTCTGGAGATCTTTGTGTTCTTCTCAGAAGAATATGTATCAAACACAGTGGAAAACAACAATCAGAACTCCTCCCAACCTATTACAGGACTTATCAAGGCACAATGTCCAACCTTGTTCTATACTTTCAGCCAACGGTGAAAGAAAGCTACATGAATACAGTAGGGCTGTAACGATATAAGAGCCTACACAACCACATCAGGAGGAAGAGGCTGACAACAAAGGCAAATGCACCATGGCCCCCAGTCTTTCTGGCACGGGGACTGGTTTTATGGAAGACCATTTTTCCATAGACTGGGGGTGAGGGGATGGTTTTAGGATGATTCAAACGCCTTTAATTTATTGTGCATTTTATTTCTAGTATTATTACATTGTGATATATAATAAAATAATTATACAACTCACCATAACACAGAATCAGTGGGAGCCCTGAGCTTGTTTTCCTGCAACTAGACAGTCCAATCTGGGGGTGATGGGAGATAGCGGCAGCCGCCCCCTCCAGCATTAGCATCACCACCTCGGCTCCACCTCAGATCAGCAGCGGGCATTAGATTCTCATGAGTGACGAAACCCAGATTGGTCGCATGCACAATTCACAGGCCGGTTGGAACGCCTAGAAGATTTGACAGGAGGCGGAGCTCAGCCGGTAATGCAAGTGGTGGATAACAGCTCTAATTACAGATGAGGCTTCGGCTCACTCACCTACTGCTCACCTCCGCTGTGCGGCCAGGTTCCTAACAGGCCAAAGATGGTACCGGTCTGTGGCCTAGGGGGTTAGCGACCCTGCTGTAACTCAGCTGTAGTAAGAACCACCGTGCAACATCTCCACCTCTGGCTTGGCCTATGTAATGATGAAAAATCCCCAAAGAAAACTTTGGCAAGGAAGTGAAGAGCAAAACGATAAAAGGTGGACTCTACAGAACTTAGGCCCTGTTCATTCACTCTCATGTTCTGGGCAGTGGCAGATTTACTCCCCACAAGTTCACCGGGAGACCTCCATGATAGCAACCAAAGAAGGGAAACCAAATCACCTAAAACCTGGAAGCCGTTCTCTGGCCAGCTCTCTCTCACTACTGGTGGGAAACAACAAAAATAGTTATGCTATTTCTGGCCCTGTACTTAAGGATCTTGTACCTGGTCAGCAAACCAGTTTGCCTTGGTCAAAGGAGAAAATTTTCTTTCTTTAGGGGAACATAAGGCCAGCAGGAAGAGTGTCATCCCCCTGGGGTCATATATCCTTCACATCTAACACAATTTTACTCTTTTCTGTACAATTTTACTTTATTTGCCATGAAAAATCAGAGTGCACTTCAGACCCTCCCAGGTGTTACTTGTGCATCTAATTTCATTCAGCTCAATGACCAAGTCTGCCATTTTTCACACATTCTGTCAGTCCACATATATTTATTGACTCACTGATAGTCCAGGCTTTGTTAGATTCTAGGTATACAGAGGTAAGACCTTAAAGCTCACAGAGTAGAGAAAGAGATCACACTAGACCCCCAAATCTATGTTTTGGGAGCCCTGTGACATTGCCTCTACTAGCTTTGGTTGCTTCATTTGTTTAAGGAGAGAGGTTGATGAACAGAGCTTGAATCTAGGGTCCCGTCTGTAGCCACTACCTACAGACAGGGTTCATCAGGGTTTAGTCCCCACTCACAGCCTCGCTCAGCAGACCCTGAAGATTTCCAAACCATTCCCCACTCCTTAGGTTTAAGACCACGCTCCTCCCTATGGGAGAGGACCAAAGGTTCATGGGCAGTATCAATGAGGTTTACGAGGAGTAGGAAGGAGCGAGGGGAAAGACAAGAAAGAAAACATAAGTCCTGCTGAAAGAAGAAGTCCAGAATGACTATTAAATAAAGGCAAACTCACACCTGCACACAATGCTTCAGGCCTGGGAGGCTGAGTTTTATTAACAAGTGGAAATAAGATCATTTGAATGTTATAAAGCAGTCTCACGTTGTCTGCACAGATTAACCAATACCAAGTATTGTTTATTATCGCAAAGCAGCTCTATCAGAAAACCAGTGCAATTGTCACTGTTCATCTGACAGCACTGTAAGGAAACAGGGCTGCAAGAAAAGCAGGTGAACGTGGGTGTCCTGACATAGGGATGCAAATCAGGAGTATTAAAAATCTGAACACATACAAAAGAAAAAAAAAAAATCCCTGAGTTTTAATCTGAAAACAACCATGTTCACATTCACATTTCTTTTGTGTGAAAAGGAAGCAGGGCACTCCACCTGAGTGGCCTCAGGGTTTCTGCTCTACACATGCCATTGCCAGGCTCCAGCAGCTGGTGAAGTGAACAATGTAATTTCTGGAAAAACAGTGCTATTGTGTCTTCACAGGACTTTTCTTCTGAAACAAGTGGATTTATTGCCTGCCATACAATTAAGAGTTCACGCATATCAGTGGTTGAATCTATCAGTCAAGTTACTTAAAGTATAGTGGTGGTGGTGGTTGTTGTTGATGAATGAATTTTTTTTTACAAATGTAATTCATTTTTGAAGACTCCAGAAAATTATTTCCCTCAGTCTGAGCAATTTAAACATTTGCTAAATAGCAGCTCTCGCAATTAGGCTTGATAAAATTCATCATAGGGTCATTATAACCGGCACTGCAGAGGTGTCACTGAAGTTGATTTCATACCTACTACATGAGAGCATGAGGAGGTGTCACTTAGATCTCTAAATACAAGGCCATTTGATCGAGAGCCCCTTTAAGGCAAGCAGGTAAGAACTGGGTACTTATACACTGAGCTTCTTTCAAGTCTGTGTCAGATTATTTACTGATGAACAAGGCATCCTGAAAATTCCAACATGGGTCAATGTGTCCTGTGTTGAGAGTAAAAAGGCAATACAGTATATTCTAAATTGTAAGGATAAGTGGAATGGTCATGATCGCTTATGAATCAGTGTCATTTTTAAGACTGGTTGAGGCACCACCTTTGTATTCGGCCATGATTAAATGAAAAAAGCAAAAGCATTTCTGATCCTAACTGGAGAGAATCAGGCATCTTCAACAGCATAATTTCCTTGGTTATAAAAATATAAAAGGCCTGGGAAAGGAAAATGAGTATTTTGGAGAAATTAAGCGAACACACTTAACATGACTTGACAGTAAATGTCTCCCTCCAGTCTGGTGTTCAATGGTACTTCCTCATTAGATTTATAATTTCATTATAGAGTCTCCACGGGGCATCCAAGCCCCAGATAAAGTCAAGATGATCCCACTCAGGAATGCGCTTGTGGTACACCAGGTTGGAGATCTGCATCTGTAAGAGGGCGACGTCCTTGTCGTCCGCGAGCCAGTCCCGACCTCCGCTCCAGACAGCAGTCTGCACCAGCATGTCTTTCACATTGTAAAGGGGAGGGAAACTCTGTAACAAAAACCCACAGAAAGCTCTGTCTCTGTTGTTTTAATTGACAAAAACACAATCCCCTGAAAACACTGATTAGAAAATCTGATCCAAGAATAAAAGACTAAATTTTTAAAACTGCTCTCAGGTTACTTTTTAACTTACTACTGCCAGATCAAAAAAGAAGCCTAACCCAGAAGAAAAGAATACTATAATGACTGCTGGCTATTGAATTGTTACCCTGTGCTGGTAACGTCCCTGGGAGGAAGGCAGCATTCTCCCAGGTGGTTTATGCCAAACCGCAAAACCAAACCAAGTGGTTTGGAGGGGTTTTGGAGTCATACCCCAAACCTCTCCTCCCTCTGGGGTGTGACACAGTCATAGAAATTCTCTAAGTCTCAGTTTCTTTCACTTTAATAATAATAATGACATCTATGTCACACAGATATTCTGAGAATTAAGTAAGAAAAACATGGGCATAGGGCCTCACACTTTAGACTCCTTAGCACTCAAAAAAACAGGTCAATTTATTTGGATATGGAAGAAAAGGTTTAGCCAATGTAATTTGGCCAAATACCCCCACCACCACCAGCCACCAGCTAACAGTCCTAGATTTGTCTGACTCTAATATCTGTGCCTGATCACTATCCGTGACATATGAGAAAGACAGTTGCACATGTAGAGCCAGAGAAAGGACAATGTCCAAAGAATGAACCAGGAAGCTTAGGCTGTTCTAGAATTGACTAGGGGAAAACAAAGGCTACCTAGTCAACCCTCTTGGACATTTCCCCAGCACCTGAGCCCAGCCAAAATTCTCATAACTCAGGCTGGCTTCTTTGATGAGTTTTCAGCACCCATTTAAATTCTGAAGACTTTGAAGACTTTACCTGGTTGTAATGAAAATAATTCTTGGCACTGCTTCCAAAGTCAAAGGCTTGAAACTTTTGCAATTTAACAACCTAGACAGAAAATAATTGGGGGTGGGGGAGAGTTATCTAACATAGAAATTTGATTTAACATCATAGGTTGCAAGAGGTAGCCGCCTCCCCAGATACCAAATTTATTAGTTGAGTTCAGTCGCTCAGTCAAGTCCAACTCTGCAACCCCATGGACTGCAGCGTGCTAGGCGTCCCTGTCCATCACCAGCTCCTAAGTTTATACTGAAACCCAAGTTCATTTCCAAACTGATTTAAAATAAAATGGCATTATTTTTCTCTCCATTCCTAAATGACTCAATTTCGTACTGTATGATTGGAAAGTAGCCATTACATGACACAATAAAGCAGCTACACTTTGTGCTGTGAACGATACTGGATCAACAGTGCATCCACTGGATGAACTTTATGATGATGTCCTTACTGAAATTTGAATCTTAAACGTTTCTAAAGAGTTAACTATCTTACTTGGGAAAGGAATACATATTACAAATAATATATAGATTAATATACATTTATACATGATGAATGTATATATATATGGGTAATAGGAGAAGGCAATGGACCCCACTCCAATACTCTTGCCCGGAAAGTCGCATGGACGGGAGAGCCTGGTAGGCTGCAGTCCATAGGGTCGCTGGGAGTCGGACACGACTGAGTAACTTCACTTTCACTTTTCACTTTCATGCATTGGAGAAGGAAATGGCAACCCACTCCAGTGTTCTTGCCTGGAGAATCCCAGGGACGGCAGAGCCTGGTGGGCTGCCATCTATGGGGTTGCACAGAGTCAGACACGACTGAAGCAATTTAGCAGTATATGGATAAATATATTTATATTAGTATATAAATATATTAATTGTATTAGCAAACATATATAGCCTAATATTAACACTATATACTTATATATATGTTAATATATTTATATATAATTATATACAATCTCCATCATATTTCCTATATCTATTCTATTTGATTAGTCATGTTACTTAACATTTTAATAATTTTATTTAATATTTTTCTTGAGTACCAGTACCAGTATAATCACCAAACTGTACTGCACACCAGAACATTTCTAACCACTTGAGATTGGAGCCATGAAATGATGCTGTATATAAAATTTAAATGTATGCTTATTTTGAATAGCATGATATGAAATATTAATAAAAAGTCACTTATTCATAAATTTTGAAATAATGCAACTTCATACTTCCTCTATATCGCCCAATTAAAAATATGTGGAGAAACAAATTCAAAATGGGCGAACTAAATGAACTGGAAACTGTTCACATTTTGGCCAGAGGGTGGTGCCTAGCAAATGGAAAAAATCTAAAGATTTCTGCTGAACTGCTTTTGATTTATGAGAATACTAGAGTGGATAGCCATTCCCTTCTACAGGGGATCTTCCTGACCCAGGAATTGAACCTGGGTCTCCTGCATTACAGGCAGGTTCTTTACCATCTGAGCCACCAGGGAAACCCCAGGAGAAGTTTTAGCTCTTCTCAACTGCATAAAATTCTACTGTTTCATGCAACAGAAAACAATGTGAGATGAGGTACTACAGGGGAAATATTTAGCATCTGCTTTTGTCATGACAAATGACAGATATTAATATCTGAAGCACATTTCACAAGGAGAATAAGATATGAATTTACAGCACCAGTTAGTGCATCTGTTCCCCAACTCTCATTGTCAGTGAAAATATATGAATGCAAGTTGTTCTGCCCCTGGAGACAGACATCAGTTTGTCCCTTTCTCACATATGTCTTGAAAGGGCATTTCAGAAGATGGGAAATGTGAAGATTATTTATAATAACAAAAATCTGTTAATAAGCTAACATTCAATGACAGATACTTAGTTAAATATATTATATTACAATATATACATAGTATGCCACTGTTGTGAATGTATATATAATAAAATAGAAAGACAAAACTGTTTATAAACAATATTAAGTGGAGAAAAGTCAGAAAATAAAATTGAACATGCACTATGGTTATACTTAGGGTCAACCTTTCTAAAGTATCTGTAAGTCTTAAAGATATACTTATCTTCTGGTCATTAAGTCTACTAAGACCATAGCCTAAGAAACTCATCTCTCTAAGGTATAAGAACAGATCTCTAATTCAAGAATACTTATCCTAGGATGTTTTATTGCCCCAAAAACACTATCATTGTAATAATAAAAAAATAATAAATTCAAGCAATAAAAAGCTCTTCTCAGTTACAAATATTTCTAAGTGTAGTTATTGACCTGGAGAAGTATTTTTGACTATGGCACAGACTGCTATTTGTCCCCCCAGGACCCATTCTTGCCTTCTTCCTTTCAGTAATAAAATTTCTAGGTTTTTTTGCTAAGCACCTAGCTGCCAGAGTAGGAACAATATCCCTCATGGGCTTCCTTCATGTGGGCTGAAACTGCCATGAACGTGACCCAGTTTCAACCAGACAGAAGAGGCCAGTGCCCCGGAGATGGGGAGCGACACTGCAGGGGGCACTGGGTCCCCGCAGGACTTCCTGGAGCGGTCATGCCCCCGCCTCCACAATCACGTGCCACTGATGTCTGGACTGGATTCTGAGGAAGAAAACTATTTAGATGCTGTATTTTAGAGTCTCTGATACAGCAACTTAGCCTGTACCTAAGAAATACAATGCTACTTAATTCAATAAAAATAATTAAAAAGTGCATGTAGCATAATTCTTCTTTTGTAATGGAAACAACTATACCAAAAAATTGTAAGACTACACTGAAAGAGTTCAGGACACGCCAACCCAAAACAGGCCGCTTTGGCATAATGATGGTTTGGAGTTAAAGGCACTTGGAAAACAGCAGATGCCAAAGAGGACACTGACCTTTTTTCTTTCTAAAAGGAGACAACAAAACTTGCATGTGAAAGAAGCCCTCCCTATATCAGGGGGAAGAAGCATGCGCAACACCAGAGCCTAAGAGAGGAGGCTGTGGGAATCTATACAGACAGACCTTGTAAAAATAACTCTCATATCTTGTCAGTCTCTTCAGATAGTTTACTTTTCCACAACGGCTACACTTTGTTCAACCCAGTATATTAGCACTTCAGCAGTTACTTCTTTAGGTCTTCATTTTTTCTTGTGAGGGCTCCCATGAACACAGAAAAAAATCCATATGCTTTACCCCTGTTAATCTGTCCCACAGCAGTCCCAGTCAGAAACTCCAAGAGGGTAAAGGAAAAATTATACCTCCCCTATAATACCCAAATACTAGTAGTAGTTATCATGGGTGGTAGACATACGGGTGATGTATTTTCTTCTTTGTACTCACATATTTTTGAAAATTTCATAATGAACATATAAATGTAATAAAAAATCGCTAAATGTCTCCTACAGTGTTTTGAGGAGCCTAACTAATGCATATTTCTTAGGCAGCAGGTTTCAAACAATAGAGAACATCAGATCTTACAAGGTACTTACTAAAAAGCAGATCCCAGGGCCATATCCTCAGGAATTCTGATTCCCAACAAGTTTTGGATGGACCCAAGTTATCTTAGAGTGCCCTAAGTAATTCTGAGGGCTTCCAGGGTGGCTCAGATGGTAAAGAATCTGCCTGCAATGCAGGAGACCTGGGTTCAATCCCTGGGTCAGAAAGATCCCTTGGAGAAGGGAAAGGCTACCCACTCCAGTATTCTGGCCTGGATAATGCCACAGACAGAGGAGCCTGGTGGGCTACAGCCCACTGGGTCGCGAAGAGTCGAATACGACTTAGCAACTAATGCACACACAAGTAATTCTGGACAGCACTGAAAAGATACATTAGGACCTGCCTTCTTCAAACAGGAGCGAGGACCTGGGCTCTGGGCACAGCCACCAAGGAGATTAGAGATTTTGGAAGAAATCTGAAACACATGAGGCTTATACAAGAGGATAAGATTTTAAGCTCAATTTAAAAATCCAGTAAAGAACTAGGTTTAGAATGACTGAGAAGCGAATGCTAATTACTTAAACAAAAGATTCATTTCAAAAGGTACTATGAATACAATGGCCCTTAAGGGCCAAGAAAAGCAAGTATCTTCTTGACAAAGGGATGATGACACAGGGAACAGAAGAGCGAAGGGCAGGGCCACCTTCTGCAGGGAATCTGGACTTCAGGAAGGTTCTTGGGGCACATTCCAATGCAGTCAGGACCTAAAACCACATGGGCACCCCCGGGCCTGAGAGCGCTGCTCATATCCACAGCCGGCAGCCTCTGACTCCCACGAGCTGTTTGAGAAAAGGGCTAGACGAGAGCAGGAGCCTGGCTTACAGCCAGTCCAAGAGCTCCAGGCAAATCCAGCACACAGGGAAGGCGTGCAGCATGAGGGAATGCCAACCTTGGGGGGGGACGGGGGAATCTGCCAGCCGTGGCCGCCACACTTTGAGCTCAGCTCAGTCATCCCCTGCACAAGGGAGCGCTGACCTCTGAGATGACAAAAGCTGGGCCTTCCTGAACAATGTCCATTAGGGCTGAGGGTAGAAACGCTCACGCAGATCAGCATGCTGATGGCAGGGCATACAAGGAAAACCACCTACTAAACAGAGATGTGGCTGAGGAGAAAAGCAGGGGCCTGAATGGACACTTAGCAGTGAACATCTGAGGGCTTTTGAAGGTTGTAGGCATTACTTCAGAGGTGAGTGTGTGCTCTTCTGCCTGTCACAAGCTCCCTGCCTTGCAGATGCCTCTCTCCTAAGCCAGACTCTGACACCGAGTCACTGATGCTTAGCACTGGGCCTCACAGTCACCATGGTGCTAAAAGCCTCACACCCATCCTGCCTGGTTTGTAGGGACAAGCCCAAGGGGAGGTGAACCATGGCACTCCCACCAGCCAGGGTTCCTGGGGCATGAACGTGCCAGTAATGTCCTGAAGCAACGGGTCCCAAATCCTGTTGAATAGTAGAATCTAATGGGCAGAATTTTTAAACAATATTTAAATTCTCACCACTCGGCACCAAAGGCAGTCCATCCTAAAGGAAATCAACCCTGAATATTCATTGGAAGGACTGATGCTTAAGCTGAAACTCCAATACTTTAACCACCTCATGTGAAGACCTGACTCATTGGAAAAGACCCTGATGCTGGGAAAAATTAAAGGCAGGAGAAGGGGCTGACAGAGGATGGGATGGTTGGATGGCATCACCAACTCAACGGACATGAGTTTGAGTAGGCTCCGGGAGTGCGTGTTAACAGGGGCCTCTGGGGCTGATAGACATGTTTATTGTCTTGACTGTGGTGATTCTTTTGCAGGTGTATATGGCAAAACAGACTACATTGTACACTTTAAATATTGTAGGTCACTTATACCTCAATAAAGTTGTTTTTTAAAAAGTTTAGCCTTTTCAGTCCAAAGGAACTGGAATCTCTAGGGATGGGACACAGGAGTCTTTGTGTTTTAAAGCATTGCTGTTGTTGTCATTAAGTCAGGTCCAACTCTTTGCAAACGCACAGAATGCAGCATGTCAGGCTTCCCTGTCCTTCACTATCTCCCGGATTTTGTTCAACCTCATGTCCACTGAATTGGTGATTCCATCCAACCATTTTATCCTGTTACCTACTTCTCCTCCTGCCTTCCTTCAATCTTTCCCAGCATCAGGGTCTTTTTCAATGAACTGGCTCTTCACAACAGGTGGCCAAAGTACTGGAGCTTCAGCATTAGTCCTTCCAATGAATGTTCAGGGTTGATTTCCTTTAGGATTGACTGGCTTGAGCTTCTTGCTGTCCAAGGGACTCATAGAGTTTTCTCCAGCACCACAGTTCAAAGCATCAATTCTTCGGCAGTCAGCCTTCTTTATGGTCCAACTCTCACATCTGTACATGACTACTGGAAAAAATCATAGCTTTGACTAGATGGACCATTGTTAGTAAAGTGATGTCTCTGTTTTTTAATATGCTGTCTAGGTTGGTCATAGCTTTCTTTCTAAGGAGCAAGTATCTCTTAATTTCGAGGCTGTAGTCACCATCCACAGCAGTGATTCTGGAGCCCCAGAAAATAAAATCTGCCACTGTTTCCACTTTTTCCCTATCTGTTTGCCATGAAGTGATGGGACTGGATGCCAGGATCTTAATTTTTTGAAAGCTGAGTTCTAAGCTGGCTTTTTCACTCTCCTCTTTCACCTTCCTCAAAAGGCTCTTTAGTTCCTCTTCACTTTCTGCCATTAGAGTAGGATCATCTGCATATCTGATGTTGTTGATATTTCTCCCAGCAATCTTGATTTCAGCTTGTGATTCATCCAATCTGGCACTTTGCATGATGTACTCTGCATATAAGTTAAACAAGCAGACAATATACAGCCTTATCGTACTCCTTTCCCAATTTGGAACCAGTCTGTTGTTCCATGTCCGATTCTAACTGTTGCTTCTGGACCTGCATACAGGTTTCTCAGGAGGCAGGTAAGGTGGTCTGGTGTTCCCATCTCTTGAAGAATTTTCCACAGTTTGTTGTGATCCACACAGTCACACAGTCCGCACTTAAGTGCAGTCAATGAAGTAGAAGTAGATGTTTCTCTGGAATTTCCTTGATTTTTCTATGATCCAATGGATGCCAGCAATTTGATCTCTGGTTCCTCTGCCTTTTATAAATTTAGTTTGTACATCTGGAAGTTCTTGATTCATGTACTAATGAAGCCTAGCTTGAAGAATTTTGAGCATTACCTTGCTAGGATGTGAAATGAGTACAAGTTCAAAAGCCTGGATTGTAGTTAATCCAATGTCCAAGTGTGATCTGTCATGTCCGACTCTTTGTGACCCCATGCACTGTGACCTGCCAGGCTTCTCTGTCCACGGGATTCTCCAGGCAACAACACTGCAGTGGGTTTCCATTCATTTCTCCAGCAGATCTTCCCAACCCAGGGATTGAACCTGTGTCTCCCACATTAGCAGGTGAATTCTTTACCACTGAGCCACCTGGTAAATCCAGCTAATCCAAAAGCTCTACGACAAACCTAATCCACTTTATTTTTTAAAAACAGTATTCTATTAAAACGTGTATTTTTAAAGGCAACTCACATGATTCTGATGCAGGCAGTGACTGCCAGATGTTTGGAAACCACTATCCAAGACACCCACTGCATCTTGGTTTGGTACTTAAATGGTGAGTTATTTCATATTTTAAAAGAGTCTGGGGGGAAAACTGTACAAAAAAACATGTCCCAAGGTAGAAATAAGTCCTTGGCATATTGTCAGGTGGGAAAAAAATCAAGCTATAAGAGAGTAAGAAGAAAATAAATCAATCTATTTCTATAATTATGATTTCTATCTATATCTTTACTACTTTCTGAAATGATATGCAGCCAGAAACGGTACAATGCAGAGACATTTCATATCCCTGCATGTACATTTTCTCTGTGGGGGATTACAGAATGATATTATCTTTCACCTTAAAAGAAACTTTATTATTATAGCCATATGTAATTTATACATTTTCTAGAATAAACATGCATATTTTTGTGATATGTGATCATACAATCAAAACTCTATATTAAAACTCAGTGACTCATTTATATCCATGATTGATTTAGCTGCTCATCCACTGATGTTTCAGATAAACTGTGTTCATGGGTTAATGCTGAAATGCTCCATGTGCTTAGTCGCTCAGTCGTGTCCGACTTTTGTGACCCAGGGGACTGTAGCCCAGCTGGCTTGTCTGTCCATGGGGGTCCTCCAGGCAAGAATACTGAAGTGGGTTGCCATGCCCTCCTCCAGGGGATCTTCCCAACTCAGGGATCAAACCTGGGTCTCCTGCAACAGCAGGCGGATTCTTTACCACTGAGCCACCAGGGAAACCCTCAATAGCTGTTTGGTGAATTTGCATGTAATGCAGTCTGCCCAAGGAAGGATAACACAGACAACAGTGACAAGAGCCCAGGGCACTGGAAGGAAGGCAGCCCAGATGTGTGAGCAGATTTTCTGTTTTCTTGGAATGCACAGAACTTTCCAAAGCTGATTTTCTACAACCTCCCACCACGCTCCTGAAATGCCTACCTGGCTCCAGTGTATCATGTTTTGCACAGAAGTTCCGGCAGGATTGTGTGTTGCATACACAGGCACTCTAGACTGCAAAATAAATATGTGGGAATAAAGAATGAAAATAGCATGAAGGAGGCATTGATAATAAACATAGTTTACACTGGGAAGCATTAAAACTACAGAGCCATAACCTCAAATACATGAGCTTGAGAGCCGGAAAAAATTCTTTGACCACAAATATTAATACATCCTGTAAAAATGTGTATAACCACACACACACAAAGGAAATACAGTAACACAGTAACTGTGGGGCTGTACCAGCTGAGATTACTGGTCATTTCTGTTTTCTTCTGCATGTTTTTCTGAATTTCCAAAGTTTTCTATGACAATCACACCTTGCTTTTTATTCATCAGAAACAAGAAAAATCAACATCCCTTAAAAATTTCCTAGAGCCTTCATTTCAGAATTTTAAAACTTATTCTCAAACTATAACACAACAAATTACAAATGTAATTGGTAATTACCATACATCAGCACCTTGCTGGCCAAGGGTTTACATTTTATAAAATAAATAAGTAAATGTTTATAAATGGGTGTTTGTGTGTCAATGCACATTCCAAAATTTAAACACACCTAAATGTGTCTATTATTTTAAAGAAAAAATTCCTTAAAAAATATAAATATCAGAATTTAAATGATGACCAATCTCCTCACTGCATAGTTTTCACACAGGTGCAATGTAGAAAACTGACAAGCGCTGGCCAGAGGCTAGCCACAGATGCTGTTTCAAGCACTTGCCAAGGTGGATTCTTGTGCCTCTGAAACGAGATTCTTGAGAGCTCTACTGAGGTCACTCCTGCCTCTCCCACATCCTCCAACACAAAGACACATATTCACAGATAAAATAAAATCACTGAAAGTTTAAAGCAAGTGTTATTGTAAACATACATACCATATTCAAATTTCTCTCATTAAATCCACACAGAACAAAAAAGATATTTCCGCAAAGCTCCTTCAGAATGACATGAGTGCAAACATGTGTACTCAGCCACTTCAAAAACGCACTCTGTGGAAAAAATTCTTTGACCCCAAATAAATCCTATAAAATAAAAAGACTCTCTCAGCATTTCATTATGATGTACTGGCCTCCATGTCCCACCTCACAAGCAGACACATACCACCTATCTCCACAGAGGGACAGATGAGAAAGGGCAACCAGCAGTCATTCAAACCAGGATACCTGTGTGATATGCTTACTAAGGCAACAGCAGATGTCACAGATGTTAAAGTCTCAAATGCCAAAATGAAGGCAGCAAATCAAATAGGTCCACAGAAGGCTTTTACAGCGGAAAAGGGCCTGAATGATCCCTCATCCCAGGGCCATCCCCAAAAGGTTTCATCTGACGTTGACAGATGGCTAGTGACTTCTGAGAAAGAGTTGAAACTGTAATTGGTCAGCAATGTGTCTCCTCAGAACACATATGTCTAATCCAATTCTGCTGGCCAGTGTGCCAAATCCTGCCCACTCCTTTTCGGGGCTTTTTAATACTTGATATAAAATTTACCATTTGAACCATTTTTCAGTGTTCAGTTCAGCATCAGTACATTCACACTGTTGTGTGACCATCACCACTATCTATCGGTCTTCAGAACTCTCTCAGCGTCTCAGACTGAAACTCTGCACCCATTAAGCAATAAAGCACGATGCCTCCTCTGTCAGCATGCCGTCTTTATAAAGTTTTATTAGAACACAGCTGAGCTTATCTCTTTACACATAGTCTCTTGCTGTCCTCACATGATAATGGCAGAGTTCGGTGGTTGCAATGGCAATGATGTGACCCACAAAGCCAAAAATATTTACAGAAAATGTCTGCCCACTTCTTGTGTACACCAGGCCTGATCAATGGCCCCTGGACCCGTGCTCAAGTATTTCTGGGGTAATCACCATGCCTTCCAGGCAGATCTTCACATATGTACATAATATGAAACAGGAAAAAGATCTTCCTTATAGTGAACTCAAATTATCTCCTTATAATTTACACTTTTGCTAATGCCTATCCACAAGGATAAGCAGAATGAAAAATTTAAACGCTTACAAAGGCAGTTTTATGGGTTGAATTGTGTCCCTTCCTCAAAAGACATTCCCTTTATCTCCCTATGTGACATATTTGGAAATAGGGTCTTAATCAATGTACTCAAGTTACACAGTTGGATACTGTCTATGTTAAAAAAAAATATGTTTCTCTCTGGACCTATACAGGTATGTAAACTCACCCACAAGGTCCACAGGAAAAGACCCCAAACTGAGCACCATGAGGAAGAAGCCTTGGTAGTTGAAGGTACTGTTTGTAATCTCTAATTGTTTATAATGAAAACTGAAGCTTCTATTACCCAAGGTATTCAAAATAAATCTGGTTAGAGGGGCCCATATCTTATCTGCCTGTCTGACCAGTGGTACAGAGAATCTGGATTCTGAGGTCAGAGAAGGGTCTGTACGTCCTGTGAATATATTTCTTAAATGACCAAGAGATATGTATACATTAAGTATACATTCCTGTATGGGGTTTCCAATGTGTGTGTAGAAATGTATCATGCCCAGAATATAGATAGTGCATCTGGCCTCAGCTGGTTCTCAACTTCTCATAAAAATTACTGCCTCCTTGAATACAGCCTGCGGGCTTCACACATTGATCTCTGATGATGTTATCAGCCTGTGCTTAGGGGTCATATAATAAAATATAATAGTAACTGTGTCTTTAGATCACCATCAGTGTGGGTGGCCAAGGTCGGGCACGGGGAAGCTCCTGTCTCCCATCTCCTGCCTACTCCACTATGCACAGGCCCATCCTACGGAATAAAGGGCAACTTCAAGGAGGTTTAAGCTGCCTTTCTCCTGGCCTTCCTCGTGCTCTCTTTCTTGGCAGGTGGGGCGCTGCACTGATGTGTTAACCATGAGAACAGAAGGCTCCAGTGTAGAGTTAAGGATACCTTCACTGACTCCCCAGGATCTGGAAGTAGGGGTGAAGCAGGGAAGAAAAATCATGGAAAGAAGGAAACTCACTACTCCATTGGTAAGGGAGGAAGGCACGCATTCTTCCACTAAAGGCCAATTCTTCAGCACCAAAGGACATCTGTGAAGGAAGGGAGCGGGGGGGTGGGGTGGGTCCAAATACCTTGAAAACAAGATCTGGAATCCGTGCTAATTTAACTAGAGGACTAGTCGTGAACTCAGCTGAAGCCACAGGAGCCAGGGCAAAAAACATTTTAATCTTTTTGGCCAGCTCAGGGATCCGTGAAAACGCTATAAAACCTGTGAGAACAAAAGGAAAAGAACAGAATTCCATCTTCAGGACTTCCCTCCGCAAAGGCGAGGGTGGGGCGGCGGGGTGCATGTCGCCCTCTAGTGGCAACTGGAGAACCATGCAAACAATACGAAAGTCGTTCAGGTTCAGTTGTGCCTGACTCTGCCAAGCCATGGACTATACAGTCCATGGAATTCTCATGGCCAGAATACAGGCCAGAATACTGCAGTGGGTAGCCGATCCCTTCTCCGGGGATCTTCCCAACTCAGGGACCAAACCCAGGTCTCCCACACTGGGCTTCCCTGGTAGCTCAGCTGGTAAAGAATCCGCCTGAAATGCAGGAGAGCCCGGTTCAATTCCTGGGTCGGGAAGGTCTGCTGGAGAAGGGATAAGCTGCCCACTCCAGTATTAATGGGCTTTCCCTGGTGGCTCAACTGGTAAAGAATCTGCCCGCAATGCAGGATAGCTGGATTTGATCCCTGGGCTGGGAAGATACCCTGGAGAAGGGAACGGCTACCCACTCCAATATTCTGGCCTGGAGAATCCCTTGGAATGAATGGTCCATGGGGTCGCAAAGAGTCGGACACGACTGAGTGACTTTCACTTTCACTAGATATTGAGTACAGTTCCCTATGCTATACAGTAGGTCCTTGTTGATTATCTATGCAAGAGATGCCAGGAAGCAAAACTAGAAATGAGGGCCTCTGAATGCCTATGTAGCTTCCCAGGTGGCACAGTGGTAAAGAATCTGCCTGCCAACGCAAGAGACTCAAGAGACACAGGTTCAATCCCTGGGTTGGGAAGATCCCCTGGAGAACGGAATGGCTACCTACTGACTCCAGTATTCCAGCCTGGAAAATTCCATGGTCAGAGGAGCCTGGAAAGCTTACAGTCCATGGGGTTGCTAAGATTTGGACAGGACTGAGCACACATGCACACACAGAATGCCTATGTGTGCACACACTGAGTTTGGTTAAATTAGTAAATCAAGTATTTGTTAAGTGCTTGTTTCAATTTTCAACCTAGATATACACTGGAAGAAATCCAAGTTGCTAGAACCAGGAGACGTTTCCCATTCTTTTATGATGTAAGTCAGAGACTGAAGACTGTATTCCTAATAGATCCACCCCACGGTCTCCATCACTTCATCACTAAGAACAATGTACAAAGGTATTCAAAGCAATCACCATGGACTCAAAAGGAACTTACACATTTAGAATCCTCTAGCTCTAAAACCCACTCCAGTGTTCTTGCCTGGAGAATCCCAGGGACGGGAGAGCCTGGTGGGCTGCCGTCTATGGGGTTGCACAGAGTCGGACACGACTGAAGCGATTTAGCAGCAGCAGCTCTAAAATATCTTTTAGCTTCCTCTTGGGTCACTTCTTGCCTTAAACATGGCCCCAGAATGTCAATTTTGAAAGCAGTGGGGCAAAGGACACAAATAAACAAGTCAAGGAAGAAGCAATATAGATGAAAAACTGGTTAAGTCCATTAATAAGAAGGCCAATTATGTCCGTGTCACTTCTTGCTTGAAGGCTCTCAAGCTGGCAGAGAGGGGAGGGCTGGTAATGAGAGCAATGCTACTTGACCACCTATCTGGAGACACTTTAATGCATTTTTACCTTTCATATCATAGTTTCCTTCTAGGAAAGTATTCTAAGGAGATTGTGCGATAGGAACACAAAGATATGAGTCATAGCTTACCCTTAAAGAGGGAATTAAACCAATTATGACACAGGTCTCTAGTCCCTATTCAGGGGAACTCGTTTGCTCAAATTATGGGCAATTTTTTTTTCTTGAAACTTTGCTAAGTTTTGTTTCTATTACAATGAACACATATTACTTTTATCATCAGCATAAATTAAAAATACTTGTGAGTTTTAAAAACTGTAAATAAAGTATATTATGGCATCCTTAAAATTAGCTTTAGTCTATTTCACTTAAAACAATCAGCATATTTCCTTGTTTTCTGTATAAAAGTGCCTACATTTATAAAACTTCTTATCATCTATCTACCCTCTCATATCCCCATAGTATTTAACTAGGAAGATATGTATCAGGCTGTGTGTGTGCATGCTCAGTCGTGTCCTACTCTTAGTGGCTCCCTGGAATGTAGCCCGCCAGGCTCCTCTGTCATGGAATTTTCCAGGAAAGAATACTGGAGCGGGTTGCCATTTCCTACTCCAGGGGATCTTCCTGACTCAGGGATTGAACTCACATCTCTTGTATCTCCTGCTTCTCCTGCATTGACAGGTAGATTCTTTACCACTAGTGCTACCTGGGAAGTACCATAATAGGCTGTGGCTTACATTAATTCCTTCAATCAAGAGAACCATATACAGCATGTTTACCTATTTATGTTTAAGTCTGAATTTCCAGAGAAGACTCAATTTTACAAAAATTCTTTGCCCTTTTCATTATTTCTGCTTGGCATTAAAAAACAAACACAAAACTCCATCTGAACTAACATTCTTTAATATTTCACTTTTAAGGGCAAACACAAATTTTGTTACAAGACATTTTATCAACCTTCCATTTTTACTATATACATACCTATTGTGGTGCCTTGAGAATGACCCACATAATACAGTTGTTCCTGGCCAGTTTTATTCAGAATGAAGTTAACTGAAGCTGGTAGGTCATAATTTGCCATCTCATCAAAACTGTAATCCAAAAAAAGGAAACCTTCCATGGAGACATTGCATACAAATACAACAGCATACAAATAACAAGTGTGTGGGTCTGATAAGTCATTACACGCTGAACACAGCTGGGTACACCAGTCCTGAGTGCACGAAACAATATTACCAGGATTGCAGAAGCCTCTCCGGGCTTCTTGATAACCATGCCTCCTGAAAGAACCGCTTTCTTCATTTTTCATAAAACAGTGTGATCCATTTTTGAAATTTTCTATGAAAGGGATCAAACAGCATGTATCTTTCTGCATGAGACTTCGTCTCTGTCATTGCATATAGCTGTCAGTTGGTTACTGTGTCAATACATCACACTTTATTTGTCCATTCACTGCTGATGGGCATTTGGGAGTTTCCAACTTTTTGCTATTACAAGTAATGTAACAACAAATATATTCCTGGCCAGGCCTTTGGTAAAAGCTCTCATTCTTGTGTTTTACGGTCTTGGGTGGGTTCTGGTATTACAAATGGGAAGCAAGCCCGAAGGAGTCCCTGGTGCTGACTTTCTACAATGCCTGGAACAGGGACACAGCACTGAGCCCGTGTACACGTGTGCTGTTACCACCACTCCCAACGTGTCAGGCTCTCTGCCAGCCTCTCTCCAGCTTCCTCTCTGTTAAGCCCCCAGTGACCTTACGAGACAGGTATTTATTATCCCCATTTTACAGACACACAGGGCTTCTGCCATATGCATCCCTAATGTCATGCAGTGATTAACTGGTCCAGCTGGAATTAAGAGAGAGAAGAGACCTTCTGGAAATAAGAAAAGTGAACATTTGGAGGACATGTTTATGAAGAAAGGAGAAGGTTATGGGACACAATTTACTCAGCAGAACCCACACCACCAGGAACGCCAAAATAAGTAAAAATTCCTTGTTGAATCTAATCCTTCAATGTAACCATTTATCTATAATTTACCTTACTGCTATTTATTAAATTCCTAACATTTGGACTACATGTTTATGAAGGAAGGGAGAAGGTTAAGGTGTAGAACCTTCCATAAACCATTGGTTTCATGTCATATGATCTTGAATTCCCCATCTATTTGCCTCCCCAATGTTTACAATGAGGGTACCAAGGAAATAGATCCCCTATAATTGACTCAAAAGATACCTGAAGGCCCAGAATTCATCCTGAGAAACTGAAAGAGTCTTGTGTTTCCGAGACCAGGTGTTTCCCCTGCTGTTCCCCATCCACACGTCAAAACCAGCATCTGCCAGGATGAAGCCCAAGCTGTTGTTGGGCAGGTTCGAGACCCAGTTACTAGAGTCTGCCAGCAAGCCATGCTGCAGGAACACCACTGGTTTGGGACCTGGAAGGCAATCATGTTTAGGAGTTAGCAGCACAAAGCGTCAAAACTGACATGATATCATGCCAACCAGATAAGTCGCAAAAGATCACAAATCAAATGATGAAACAGAAACAAAAGACCGAGGTGGTGTTACCATTGAGGGTAACTGTACTGTACATAATGTGTGAAGAGAGCGTGGGGGCTGTTTTTCTTGGGCACATGAAGACACTTCTCACCCATCAAAGGTGTTTTGGCACTGGGCCATGGGAAACGTGAAAGTGGAAGTTGCTCAGTCGTGTCCGATTCTTTGTGACCCCTTGGACAATACACTCCAGGGAATTCTCCAGGCCAGACTACCAGAGTGGGTAGCCTTTTCCTTCTCCAGGGGATCTTCCCAACCCAGGGATCGAACCCAGGTCTCCCACATTGCAGACGGATTCTTTACCAGCTGAGCCACAAGGGAAGCCCAAGAATGAGTAGCCTATCCCTTCTCCAGTGGATCTTCCTGACCCAGGAATCGAACCAGGGTCTCCTGCATTGCAGGCGGATTCTTTACCAACTGAGCTATCACAGAAGCTCATGGGAAAGATGATTGGACATTAAAAGACCAGGAAGTCAGGCTGAATAAGGAAAGACCTTAGGGGACCAGTGGGGCAGGGCTGCCTTGTTCCAAGAGGCTCTGGGGCTGGTCCTCACTAACAGAAGGCGCGTCTGTGCTCGGTGGTGTCCGCTGGGGAGGGTTAAGCAAAGGCAGGAGGTTAGCACACAGGAAGCGAAACTCCTAGCTGCTGGTTCCAACCTGTGCCTCTTCAGACACTTAATGGAAAACCTGAGGCTGTGTAATAGCCAACTTTGCAGGGCAGAGTCTTGAGAAAGGCGGACGGGTTCCAGGGGGGATGGGAGAGCCAAGGAGGGGAGAGCAGGATAAAGGGTGGGGCAGCCAGGACTGAGTGGGAAGGGGGAGGCAGGTGCCAGTTTGTGGGGGACCAGGAGTCAGCTCCCTACCTTTTCTTGAGGGAATATTTCAAATGCCTCTGAAATCTCGCTACACTTCCCTCCCTATACCCCCAGAAGGTTCAAAGGAGAAACGTGGGAGTTGGTGGGTTGAAGATATACCAGGAAACTCTTTAAACGCCACCAGTAAATAACTTCTGGATTCCCACAAGCAATTAGGAGCCACGGGTGCTTTTGCAAGAAGTGAGCATGAAGCCCAGGAAAGTGCAGGCGGCCAACTAAGGCGTGTGCCCACCACACACGGTGGGCTGAGGGGCCAATTATGGCAGCTAAGGGGCTTTCAACAACATCTGCAAATACCTCTACTGAACCCTGAACCTGCCATTTACCCCTGCATGAGGCTTAAAACATTCCCAGACCCCTTGCTCTATAATCCATGGAAGGGTTTCCCAAACCTTTATTTGGTTTGTTATTTACGCTCCTGTATTTACCCCACATGTTGAATTTCCATGGACTTGGCTTTGCCTAAAACCTCTATTGCAATCCATGGTTAAAAAGAGTCTGTGTGTAACAGAAAAAGAAGCAAAGAAAAGTGTTTCAAAATGAAACAATCCATGTACCTGGATTGCAGTAGTGATCCTTTTAAGCAGGGCAGGGTAGGGTAGAGAAATTTCAGTGACTTGTTAAGACACCAGTCATAGGGGATGGGAGTGGATCAAAGTCACGTTTTTTTTTCTAATTCTCTTTTTGTTTGTTGGGGTCCCCCCCACCCCTCACTTCAAGCTGGATCCAAAAGCTCAATGAACCACAGATACAAAAGGTGACACCAGACAGGAAGAAAGGAGTGAATCTGGTCTTTCAAAGTCAGGTGTTATCAAATCTGGAGGATCTGGGCCAAGAACTGCAAAGGGGAGGGCAGACCCCAGGGCTTTCTCCTGGGAACTCCCAGCAGGGGAGAAAAGTGGCTGGCACAGAGAAGCACGTGGCTGAGAAACGGCTCCGCCTGACAGCAACCTCAAGCCTCTGAGCTACGTCCTATTCAACCATCTGAGGAACGTTTACTGAGAGCTTCACTGGATACTAAGCAAAGCACTGGAAGTTAAAAAAATAATAATAATAATCAAGTGATTCAAAACACACATTACATTTTCTGTAAACCCATCCTGGTACAAACTCTGTGTCAGTCACTGAGCCAGATTCAGGGATAAGAAAGTGGGTAAGCAGTGCTCCCCATGGAGCTTCATTCTAGTCAAGGAGACAGACACGATTACTTTCCAGCCCGGTGTGGAAAGGGCTAGACCACCACACAGTAAAACCCAGAGGAAAGAGAAAGTTCACTCAGCCAGGAGAGGAAGAGTTGAGACAAATCTCAAGTGACAGACAGACTCCCCACAAAGGGCTCGGCAGCCTGGCTCTGCAGAAACCTGGCACTGTATCCCACGCCTTAGCCAGACAGGACCCCAGAGGGCACTGTAGAAGCTCTGATGCAGAGCGGTTTGGGGAACCCCTGGCAGGGCGTGGTGCCTTGTCTGATCTAGGCACAGAGGGGATATGAAGGACTTTCTTCAGGGGCACACATCCTTGCAAGTGGGGCCAGCTCCCCTTCCTCCCAGAATGAAAGAGGCCTCTGAGGAAGAAGCCACATAAAATATAACCCACTCAGCTTCCCGTGCCCGTGACTCCATGAGACATGATGGGCCACCAACAAAAAGAAAATACTAACAAATCCAGGCCTGGGTGGAAAATGGGTGCTAAACTGCTTGTCCCTTCCCTCTGACCTTTAGTGAATGCAAAATGGCAGCAGAATAGACAAGGGCACTGGGACAGTCTGCCAGCTTCTCCTACCTGCTCCTACCTGGCTCCCATGAGATGGGGCAGGGGGAGGAAGGAAGGTACTATGTCATCTCTCCCAACCTGCCACCAGTCAAGGATTTGCTAGAAAAAGAAGTTTCTCTCTAGGAGGGTTAAGCCTACTGTCATTCACATCTTCCAATGAATTACTTTAATCAGATTTCTCTTCACCCTGCTGAGAGAAACTGACTGAAGTAATAGCTAGCTATTACTGTGCACCCCTGTGTTCTAAGGCACTGTGATGAAAATCCTATGAAGTCACTACTATTTCCATTTAGCAGAACAAGAAATTATGGCTAAGAGAAGTCAAGTCATTTGCCCAAGACTGGATCAGAGTTAGTAAGTGGGGGAGCTGGGATTTGAACCCACATAAACTAATGCCAGGGTCTGTACTCTTAAACTGTTTTGCTACGGGAAAGGCTAACTGTCAGGAAGCATTTAACAAGAGGCTTCCTGTGTGCGGTTTTGGATCTGTCAGGAACCCTCTGGCCCTTATTGGTTCCTGAATATTCAGGAATTAAGAGGAGAGGCACGCCTTTCCCAGGGCTAAGGAATCCAGGCAGTTCTCATTACAGTGATAAGTACCCGCTTCCTTTTTATGAGCCAAATGGTAAAAAATGATTGTTTGCAACTCTCTCTTTGATAGGGGTCATCTTATGTTTTTAAGTCTGGACTTTTAATGTTTATCTTTGCTGAGAATTACTACAGTATATATGCCCACGCCATGTTGATTAAAACACCTTTGCTCCATCAGAGCTTTGGTCCCGGTGTCTTTCTTTCCTTCTTTCTTTCTTTTCCTTCTCTCTTTCTCTATTTCTGGCTAGTTCCTTGGAGCACGGAGGCCCGCTGAGCTCACTTTCTTGCCCGGGCTTCTAAGCCCCTCTCGAGAAGGTGCGCTGTGCCTTCACCCGCTCGAGAGGGCGCCTGGTGCCTACATGCAGCAGCGTGAGCTCTGAGAACAGGGCTCTATTGGCTTTCCGCGTAAACCAGCGGGTATCAGCCTCTTTCTCTCTCTTACTCTCGGAACCACCAGGTTCCGGTCCATTAAAGGACCAACAAGCGCTCTCTCCTACTTTCTTACCGTCGACTCCGGACCACCAGGTTCCGGTCCATTAAAGGACCAACAGCTAACAATAGAGAGTCATTCTACAACACACGGGGGGCCCTCAGGCAACGACAAGCAGAAGAGGGAAGTTATTCTGGAGGGAGTCAGACCAGGTGCTTTGAAGAAAGAAATCTCCAGTGGATGGACAGAGGAGACAGCATGGCAGGCAGGACCACAATATTCCACTTTGGAAAAAGAAGTTTCTCTCTAGGAGGGTTAAGCCTACTGTCATTCACATCGTCCAGTGAATTACTTTAATCAGATTTCTCTTCATCCTGCTGAGAGAAGCTGATTGAAGTAATAGCTATTACTGTGCACCCCTGTGTACACAGGCGACTGTCCCAAGGACCAGCCTAGTCCACGCATGCCAGCACCTGCATCTGGTCTGTCTGAGCAACAGACCAACACAATGGGACAAGGGCTGTCTTTCCTGAAGAGCCCTACTGTGAGTTTGTCCAAACTGGCTGTACGAGGGCTGCAGGCTGAGGAAAAGGCCTATGGGCACCTTAGCCCAGAGAGGGTGAGTGACTTTATCAGTTGCCTACATAGTCAGCGCAAAGCCAGCAAAGAGATGCAGTCCCGTGATGGTCCTGATAGGGCCAAACATGGGTGGGAGCCAGGAAGGGATTACTCAGGCTTCAAAAATGAATCTGCTGAGCCCACAGCCTCACAAGAGGAAGGTGCCTACAGAAGTTCCTCCCAGCTCCCAAGGCACTGGCCTTCTCCACCAGGGCAGTGTCCGGACGGGCCTCCACCACACTGGAAAGCGCTGTGAGAACTCAGCTGAGGTCCAACGAAGAACCGAAAGGAGGAGGTGGAGGAGCAGACCATTGGCATGAAACAGTCTTTGGTTCTTACTGGGTATGAAACCCTATAGGATTTACTCAGCCTCTCTGGAATATAGATGTTCTTGTCTAAAGTGGGGGATGACACAGTGGTTGATAAATAATAGTGACTCACAATAATAATAATAAAGGTACTAGAGTAATTAATTATTATTAGAACAGCTCTGTGAAGAAAGATGACATGAACGGGCATTCTTTAGCCCCAGAAACATAATCTCAGTTACAGTAAGAGCACTAAGTGTTGACTGTGTCACGTACCATGCTAA